AGTCTTAGCCCTGAACGCCTGGTGTAAATACGACAGGCCGAAAGAGGCGTCTCGAGCGCTCTGGGGTCGTGGGTCACTGACCTCACCTGCCAGTGGGTGAATGATGCAGCTGTGTCCGTGGTGAAGGTCATAGCTCTGCTGTCACTGAAGCCGTGGCGCTCTGACCCACTGAGATGAATCAGCTTATTTACCCAGCTCTATTTAAGAGCCGTGACATCACTCAGGCTCTCAGGACCAAACTTCTGATTAAAACAGACTCTCTGCTTATTGCACTGCAGCTCTGCAGTTTTTGGGAGTGGAGTTCTGCTCGGATTTAATAAAACCAGTGAGCTGGTGCTTTAGGAAAGGTGGGTTTTCTACAGTACATTCACAGATAACAGAGATATACTGTATGTACTGTAATCGTGTCTTAGGGATGAAATGAAGATAAACTGCTAAATGAAGCTCTTAAACGGATAGTTCACCAAAAAAAATAAATAAAATAAAATAAAAAATTCTGTCATCATTTACCAACCTGTGGCTGTATGGCATTTTTCCTTTCTTAGAACACAAAAAGAGATATTTTGTAAATGTTTGCAGACTTTGCACTGCTTATTTAACCAGAAACTGGTGCTTTATGTTATGGTTATTATTATTATTATTATTATTTGTTTATTTAATTTATTTTTGTTTTATTTGTAATATACATAATTAATTGTATGATAACAAATATATTTACAAAGATTTTGCTCATTTAAATGCTTTAATGTACTTTAGCTTTTTTTTGTTGCTAATATTGCTTATATATATTTGTGACATATATATACATATATGTATATATATATATATATATATGCAGAGAGAGCGAGAGATGCTCATCTTTGTTTTTCATACTTAATTTTTAGATTTTTAGATCGCTATCTTGCCATCTTACACCTATTAATTTTTTTAAAGGATTATATTATTATATTATTATATATTATATGTATCTGTTCACGTTTAATACAATAATAATATAAAATTGTATACTGTATAATATTATAGACATTTTTTGATTGCTTTGTCATCTAATACTCACTTAAAATTAATATTTAAAAAGACAAAAATATTAATAACACTGTTAAATGTAATCTTTAGCAAGTTTCAGAATAGATTTTCACAAAATGTTTATTCGTATCTAAATTTTTGTACACCGTAGTGTATGCATTTATTTAATATAATTTATATACATTCTGTTTTTAATATTTGGTTTATTTCTTTATAATTTTTCATCTATACATTGAAAGTAATTATTATTTTTTTTTTTTATTATATCGGCCAGAAGTGTAATACTGTGTATCCTTATTTGATGTCAGTGACTGAAAACACTGTTGGGTTTTGCATCGTAACCGATTACGGCATGCCAGGTTTCAGCTGGACACGACGGGTGCAGGGAAGGGAAAAGAAAAATTGTTCAGTGAAGCTCTAAACACAAAGAGAACAGAAAACAGCAAGCAAACTTGTGTGTAATGACAGAGGTAAAGAGGGTCACCGTGTGTAAATGAGATTGGCTTTACTATTATGCATGAAATATTTGATCTACTCAGTGTGCTCGCACCTTCCTACTCTCTGCTTTCTCTGGTGGGCTCTGTTTTGTATCTCTTTGTTGGCGTTTTGCATCCTAACAAGATTCCATGATCCCTTTGTGCCATTATGCTAATTTGTTATAGGCCACGTGTTGCATATTAATGAGCTGGAAGCTGATATGACCTCAAAAAGCATTAAGCTCTGAACCAGCGGCCCGTTCCCCTCACACACGCCGAATGAGAGTGATTTCTCAGGGGGAGGATGTATCTCCTGAGGGAAGTAATGTACAGAGGTCTGTCTCCTCTGAGACACCAGGTGCTGGAGGAACCGCACAGCCTGTGCTATTTAGAGCAATTGAATTATGCTGTGTGTGTTTAATAACAGAGCTGAACCACAGTGTGTGTGTTGTATTGTGTTTGTGTGTGCATTTTTTCAGTCTAGGCATTCAATATCTCCAATAATCACCCCATGCCCTGCCCACAGCTGTAAAGAGTGTCTCTGATTGGCTCCTAACTCTCCGCTCTCCCAGTTATGTCATAATCAATCAATGAATGATTGATCTTCTGCTTATTATCTCCAACATCTTCAACAGGCTTCATCAATCATCACCGATCAATAACAACAGAATCACTCATGTTAATGTAATCTTTTTCTCGCAAGTCTTGATTTTTGCTGTTAAAATTTAATTTTATACTTTTAAGTATCTTGTGACTTTACGTGCTATTTTAATTTATGTTCATTTCAATATTTAAGTAGCTTGTGATGCTTATTTATTTATTTTATTATTATTATTATTTTAAATTAACTTTATTTTTCAAGTAGTTTAAGCTTGGCATGATGTTTTAATTTAATTTAATTGAAATATTTATTTGAAGTAGCTTGTGACTAAGTATTTTATATTTTATTTATATTTATTTTATTTTATTTTCATGAAAATGAGCTCCCGCAAGTTTGAATTATGGGTAGGGTTTGACTGAACAATGTTTGTTATAAAAAATATGCTATTAATATATTTAAATACCTGATTTAAAATCGTAATAATACTTCAAAATAATACTGTATTAAAGAGACTTATTTCATTTTTTTAATTAATTAATAAAAAAAAAAAATGACTCCAAATTTTGAACAGTATTTTTTAGTACTGAATAAAATATTCATCTCGACTCTTGACTCTTGACTGAGCTTGCAGTGCACTGTGGGGTCTGTTTTCATT